GTCCAGGACTAGAACCGTGGTTGGCCATGTGGGAGTCCAGCGCCCCTAACCACCATACCATCTGCTGGCCGAACACTGGATTATTTTCAATTTTTGGATGTTACAAATAATACTGTGATGAATATTCATGTACAAGTTTTTCATGACACATGTTTCCATTTCACTTGGGTATATATCTAGCAGTGAAATTGCTGGGTCATATGGTAACTCTGTATGTAACTTTCTGAGGTATCTCCATATTTTTCCAAAGTAACTGTACCATCTTAGATTCCTACTAGCAATCTATAAAGGGTTCCAATTTCTCCACATCCTTGACAATACTTGTACCTGTTTGTTTTTAGAAAAAGATTTTTGCTATAGGGTGCATGTGTTAACGGAGAGATAAAAAGAGACAGAGACAGAAAGCAAAAATCACCCTCCCCAGAGGGGATGGCCACACCACAATCCCTTCTCCATTCTCCTCCTGGGATCTTTGGCATGTACATACACGCACCGGGCATGAAGTTTTTTCTTTTTTGGAGAGGTTTTTGCTATAGGGTGCATGCGCTCGCCAGACAGACAGAGACAGAAAGACAGAAAGGGAGAAATCACCCCCCAGAGGGGATGGCCACGCCGCAATCCCTTCTCCTCCATTCTCCTCTCGGGATCTTGGGCATGCACGCAAACGGGCCCGGCATGAGTTTAAGCCACTGGGTCCGGGACTTGAACCGTGGTCGACTACATGAGAGTCCAGCGACATAGTCATTACGTTAACTGCTGGTCCAATCCGGCATGAATTTTAAGCCACTGGGTCCAGGACTATGAACTGTAGTCAACTACATGGGAGTTCAACGACATAACCATTACACCATCTGGTGGTTCCATCTGTTTTTTATTACAGTCATACTAGCGGGGGTGAAGTGGTCTCATTGTATGATGTTATTTTTTGTTTTAAAATCAAAGCAATCTATATTCATAGTTTAAAAGGACAAGTCTTTAAGCGTAAAGGCCACATCAATCTCCATTCCCATTTCCATGAGGCAAATGCTTTAAGTTTTTTTTTTTTTTTCTTTTCAGAGAGATGTTTTGCTGTAGGGTGTGCGTGTTCACCTGAGAGACAGTGAGACAGAAAGTGAGAAGTCACCCGCCTCTGTCCCCCGGAGGCTGGCCAAACCACAATCCCTATTCCTCAATTCTCCTCTCTGGATTTGGGGCACATGCACATGCACCTAGCATGAATTTTAAGCCACCATGGTTGACTATGGAGGAGTCCAGCAGTGTAACCATTATGCTGTCTGCTGGTCCCTGCTTTAAGTTCTTTTAGTAGTTTCTTCTAGTATTTCTGGTAATGTGCTTTTATCACTACTTTAATTTTCAGAGGCACATGTGCTTGCCAGAGATAAAGAGAGAAAAAGAAATGGGGTGTGGTCACACAGCAATCATTTTTCCTTCATCTCTCCTTCCTTCAAGATTTTGGGCACACATGCACCTGGCATGTTTTTCAAGCTGCCAGGGTCAGGATTCAAACTAAGGGCAGCCATGTAGGATCTAGCTTCCAAAACACAGAGCTTACCACTGTGCTACAGGGCCAACCCCTATAATACTGTTTTTTAAAGCAGTTTTAGATATCATTGCTTGACATCCAATTATGGAAGAAGAACATTTAGTTTTCTTATTTTCCCCCAACTTACACACAAATATGCACTCACTTTAACCTTCCATCTTCACAATATAATTATAATCTCCATTTTTTCTTAAATAAATAATTGGCATTTTTATTGCTATGACTATTCAATTATAGCCATGTGATATACAAAGATTAGTCATACTTTTTGCTTCTTAGATTCCAGATGACCTAGAGAAAAACAATTACTTTTTTTCTTAAATGATATAGGTGCGTGTGTGTGTGAAAGTTGGAGAAATAAGCACCTTCAATAGGATCTCATCATACCTCTATCTGCCTTCCTCAGCCCTCTAGCTTCTGAGGATCCTGGGCACCCACACATGTGCACAGTATGTTTTGGATCCAGGTATCTGAACCTGTGGTTACCATATGGCTTCCAGCCTTGCAGGGCACTTGTATTACTACCACACTATAATGGCTGGGCCAAGCTTTAAAAACATTTATTTTAATGTCCTCAGTTTTCTACATACTGTTTACTAATTCTACTGTTTACTAATTCTTTACATCATACAAGAAAACAACAAATCTCTGGGCATATTCAAGCACATTGTATATTCTACTCTTTTTTTTTTTTTTTTAAGGTTTTTTGCCATAGGGTGCGTGTGCTTGCTGGAGAGTGACAAAGAGAGACGGGGGAAGTGAGAAATCACTCCCCAGGGGGAATGGCCATGTTGCAATCCCTTCTTCTCCATTCTCATCTTCTGGTCCTGCATGTACACATGTCCGGTGTGAGTTTCAAGCCACTGGGTCCAGGACACGAACTGCAGTCAGTCATGTGGGAGTCTAGTGCCTTAGCCACGACACCATCTGCTGGCCACAGCTTTTTCTTTTTCTTTTGACAAGTAATCAGAACTCAATTAGCAATTGTTCTATGAATGAATGAAAATATCTAGCCATAGAACCAAAGGCTCTAGAGTTGGGAGGAAACTTAGAGATTACTTCCTCTAGTCAGGATCCATGATATCCAGCCCTTCGACATGAAATTACATGGAGGGTCATTGCTATGAATTTGAATTTGAACATGTCCAATGCTAGTTTCTTCCTAATTTAGTCCCATGCCCAGCAGTGAACTTCTACATGACTGTCCTGTGTAGGCATGAGTTGTTTTTTGTTTATTCAGCATCCACTTCTCCATCCTCTGATTTTTTTGGTTCTCTGATTTTTATTTGACATTAGGGACAGGGAAACAATATAGGGCACAGAGTGGGCAAGGGAGCTGCCAGGGAGGACCTGCTAGAGCTCAGAGGCCCCTGCAGCAAGGATAGCAGAGCCGACAGGGAGAGAGTGAGTGAACAAGTCATGCTGACATGGTTTAGCCTCTGAGTTCTGGTGTATATTCAAATTTGACTTTCCAATTATGTGCAACACATAAACTGCTTATATAAGCCTATTTGAATTTTGCTTCTTGTTCTTAGAAACAAAAGGAGTGGTGACTAACCCAGACACTGAAGTAGGGGCAGAGGTACTGCTTTATTATTTTTGTAAGTTTATTTATTTATTCTGAGAGAATGAGAGCAAGAGAGAGAGACAGGTATGGCCCATGGGGCCCTTGACTCTGCAGTCCCTCTCCAGTCTTAGCCAGCCTACGTTCTCCTACAATGGACCTTGAGAGCTTGTTTGGAGGTTCTAGCAGGGGAGCGCAGCTACTCGTATACCCTTGACCGAAGAATGGTCCTCCTCTATTGGGAATGATTGTCCTCTTCAACCGAGCACACAGCTTTGGAAGTGATGCACATGGAGCGGTCAGGGAGGACGGGAACACCCGCCTAGCCAGCCAGATCAGCCAGATCAACCCTGGGGATCAATGGGTGACAGATGTCATGGCCAGATTGCCCTCACATCCTTGCACTTGTATTTTTTTAAAAGTATATTTGTATCCATATTTCCATCAGACCCCAGGCTATTTTTTTTTTTTGAGAGATTTTCGCTATGGGGCACGTGCGCTCACCAGACAGAGAGAGACATAGAGACAGAAAGTGAGAAATCACCCCCCAGGGGGGATGGTCACGCTGCAATCCCTTCTCCTCCATTCTCCTCTCGGGATCTTGGGCATGCACGCACACGCGCCCGGCGTGAGTTTTAAGCCACTGGGTCTGGGACACGAACCGCGGTCGACTGCGTGGGAGTCCAGTGACATAGCCATTACACTAACTGCTGGTTCCCAGACCCCAGGCTATTTACATTTTTTTTTTTATAAATAACCCACATTTTAAAGTTGTTTTTCAGCATAAAAAAAAAAACCCTAAAATGTATTTAAATCATTAATGATGTATTAGTTTCTGATAAAAATACTACAATTTTTATTCTTTCTCAACTCTTCTTGTCTCTGAAATTTACTTACTTTTCTAGTCAGTTCTTCATTTTCATTTAACTTTATTTATTTATTTATTTAAATTTGACCAGAGAGGGACAGAGAGAGAGAGAGAGAGAAGGAAAGTGAGAAAAAGTGAGAAAGCAAGCCTCCAGGTCCCTCTGATCTGTCCACTTGATCCACCATCGGCCGTGTGGGAGTCCAATGCCCTTAACCGCCAAGTCACCTGCTGGCCCCAAGTTCTTCTTAAATCTAACAATAAACACTTTTTACTTCTCTAGTTAGGGAAACCATAAACCTTTTGTCATAACTTGTTTCCATTTCATTCCAGTTCTCTAGTCATGACTTGTCCACGTCACACTCTTGTCCTTAATGCAGTGACCTACACAAAATATGTCGGTGTGGTCCACAGGTCGTTTGGAACCCCCAGCTCTGTTACTTACTGGCAATATGACCCTAAGCAAGTTTCTTCATCTGAAAAAATATAAATAACAGTGTCTGCTTCACATAGTTGTTGCAAAGAGTAAATAAATATATACCGGTAAATGTTAACTGTAATTATTTGCTGGCGAAAAGCATGATCTTTGTTACCCAGCACTTTTTGTTACTCATTCAATATGAGAAGCTTATAAGACACAACTCTTTGTTTGCTGCCCAGAATCTAAACCCTATGAGCTAGACACTTTGCCTTGTTCATCTCCATAGTCCTAGCACTTAAAACTGACACATAACAGGGTATTCAATAAACGCATATTTATGGACTGAATGAATATAGTAATACAGGTATAATTTTACTGACATTCTGATTTTATGGATGAGGAAGCTGAGGCTCAGAAAGGTTAAGTAATTTGTATAAAGCCCCACAGTGGGTTACAAAAGGATTAAGACAAGTTCTCCTGCCTGGCTATTGTCTTCTACCTTATCACCTCCTAGGCCTTTTATCTCCTTATCCAAAAGTTCAGATGTAGTAAATTAGTTGCTAAATATTTCCAAGGGCCAAAATGAGACTTATAGTTTACAACCTACCGTGGTATCCACAGCTTTGACTTTCTCTGTAGGAATGTGTTTTGGGACAGGTTCTGTCTGGGACAGCATCACGCATCCTTCTGCCCCTAAGGTGATGATGACGGCCTGGCAGCCCCTTTCCTGGAGCACTAATGCGGCCTTCTCTGCATTTGCAGGACTGCTGACAGCGAGGCCAGTTAAAATCTCAGCCTGGAACACGCAGAAGTGAAGAGAAACAGGTATGAAAATAAGTAACCTGGATCCGCTTCCAGATTAGATTTGTTTTTCTCCCTTCTTTATTGCAATGACCAATGCAATGGGGAAACTGGTGCAGGAAAATAAAGCAAAACAACAATAATGACAAGAAAAACTAGCTATATAAGACATTCTTGGGACTGCTGTGGAAATTTGGATGTGGACTGGAATTAGACGACAGCATGGAATTACTGACTCTCTTCTTTAGTGTGATAATGGCAGTGTGGTTCCTCTCAGGAGAAGCACACTGAAGTACTTAGAGGTGAGGTATCGTGTCTGCAACCTACCCTCGACAGCAATAAATACTTGCTTTCCAGTTACTTTTCAACAAAATAAAAAGTAAACACACATAAAGGAGAAGAGGCAAACAGAGCAAAATGTTAACTGTTTCCATGGAGGCTGTTTATTGTAGTACTCTTAGCTTTTCTGTGCAATAATTTTCACAATAAAGAAAATTCTATGAAAGAAAGGTAAGGAAAAGACCATTGCCAGAGGACATGTGTATGCAACAGAGAGAGAGAGAGATTGAGAGAGAGAGAGAGAGAGAGAGAGAGAGAGAGAAAGGAATCCCAACAGGTACACTCACATCACAGTCCCTTCTCCACTTCTCCACCCTGCCAGGATTTTGACCACACAAGCATATGTGCCCAGCATGTTTTTTTTCCCTAGAGAAATTTTTGCTACAGGGCATGTACACTTGCCAGAGAGAGAGAGAGAGAGAGAGAGAGAGACAGACAGACAGAGAGACAGAAAGCGAGAAATCACCCCCCCACACCACCCGGGATGATCACGCCATAGTCTCTTCTCCATTCTCTTCTTGGGATTTCAGGCACACATGTACTTGGTTGATTTTGGGGGGGTTTTTTGGAGAGGTTTTTGCTATAGGGTGCATGTACTCGCCAGAAAGAGAGACAGAGAGATAGAAAACGAGAGATCACCTCCCAGGGGGATGGCCACACCACAGTCTCTTCTCCTCTATTCTCTCGGGACCTTGGGCACGCACGCACATGCTCCCAGTGTGAGTTTAAGTCACTGGGTCTGGGACTTGTACTGCGGTCGGCTACATGGGAGTCCAGCGACACAGCCATTACGCTAACTGCTGGCCCCCCATGAATGTTAGTCTTAATCATGTTTATTTTAAAGTAATTTTTGCATCATTTCATTATTTGAATTTTATCTTGGGCACAGTCTTCTTTAGTTTGTGGATCTGTCAGGTAGGGTGCACAGCATTCATTTTTTCATTTGCAGACCCCCCCTTGGCTTATCCCTGCCTTTCTAGTGCTTTTACAGTTGTATCCACTAGGCCTCCAAGGTTCTCTAAAGCAGCGTGAGGAGGAACTGCTGCTCTGCTCTTAGAGGGGCTATAACCAGCCTGGGCACTCAGTCACTGGTGGGCTTCGTATCCCTCCTGGTCAGGCAGTGTCTTCATCTTCCTATCTCCTCAGGTTGGGAGCCTTGACTATACTGTAGCCTCAGGCAGAAGTAGCTTCTTCCACCTTTTATGGTTATCAGGGGAGCCAAGGCCCAGCAAGTCTGTGGCAGTGGGCACTGCTCCAGCCTCCCATGAGTAGCACACTTTGGTACCCATTACCCACAGGAATTGAACTTCCTACTGCCTCTGCTGGCCTCTGGGGCTCGTGTTCTGCATGTCCAGGACAATGCTCAGAGAGGCGGCTCTATTTATGATATGTGGGATTATTTATCTTGTTTTTGAGCTTGTAAATATTTTTGTTGTCTCTTTTTCTATTTACATAGCAATGCTTCCTGTTGAGCAGAAGTATCCTAAGCATGAATTTACAGTGTTATCATGATTAGAATTAATTCATAAGAATGTTACACTTTTGATGTTTTCCTTTCCTTTCTATTCTTTTTCTTTTATTTTCTCTTTATTGAGACAGTGTCTTGTTATGTTGATGAGGCTGGCCTCAGACTCATGATCCTCCTGCCTTAGCTTCCTGAGTAGCTGAGATTAGTGGTGTGCACCACTATGCCAAGCTTCCATTAAGCATTTTAATTTTTTTAAAATAATTTGCTAGAGACTGCATGTGCTCTTTGGAGAGTGACAGTGACAGAGAAAAGGAAAGCAAGAAAGCACCCCTGTGGGGCATGGTCATGCCACTGTGTCTTCTCCATTTCTCTTTCCTTTTAGGATTCTGAGCATGCACACACATGTGCCTAGTGTGTTTCTCAAACCGCCAGGTCCAGGATTCAAACCACAAGGCCAGCCATGTGGGATCCAACCACCTTAACCACCATGCCACAAGTTCGCCTTCCATTAAACTTTTAAGATTAAGTTTTTGAGATCAATTTCCTTTATTAATTACATAAGAACTTACTAGGTATCAAGTCTGTGTCCAGCGTAGCAGATATTATTTTCCAAAGGGAACAGTATTAATACATGCCATATCTTACTTCTATTTCTACACTGTGACAATGACAATCTCCTATTGAGAGGTGGAGTATCAGGGTGGACATTCCTGCTTTGACCATGAATGGGACAGAAATGATTGTGTGTGACTTCTGAAGCTAAGTCATAAATGCCAACCTGGCTTCTATGCCTGGTGCTCTCTTTCTCAGGCTGCTGGATCTTGGAACCCAGTTACCGTACCATAAGGAAGCCCAGGCCACAAGGAGATACCATGTGTAAGAGTTTTGACCAAGGGCTGGGCCCGTGGCTTGGTAGTTAGGGAAGCTGGATCCTACATGGCTAATCAAGCAGTTGGAATCCTGGCCCCAATGGCCACTTGAGAACACACCAGGCACGTGTGCATGCATGTCCCAAATCCTGGCAGGATGGAGAAGTGGAAGAGAAAAGATTGTGGCATGACCAGGCCCCATGGGAGGGGTGCTTTCTCTAACTCTCATTCTATCTGTCTCTGTCTGGCAAGCACACATGCCCACTGGCAAAAAAAGGAAAAGAAAAAAGGGCTAAAAAGGGAATTTTGGCCAATAGCCTCATTATGCCCCTAAGCAACAGCCAGTATCAACTCCCAGGATACCAGTGACAAATTGGAATGCTCAGTCTTTTGAGTCTTCTAGCTAAGGCCCCAGGCTTTGTGGAGCAGAAATAACCCAGGCTGTGTCCTGATTTCCTGATGCACAAAAACTGGAAGTGACAATAAATAATTATCATTGTTGTAAGCCACTAAATGTTGGGGTAATTCAATATGCAGCAAGAGATAACTATGGCCCACCCTGTGGCATAGCAGTTAAGTGTCACACAAAGGAGGCCGGACCCCACATGGCCAAGAAGGTTGGTGTCCAGGCCCTAGCAGCTTGAACAACACACTGGGGGGTGGGGAACAGCCATTTGCATGGTGGTTAAGGTAGCTGGATCCTATATAGCTGAGTGAGCAGTTGAGTCCCAGACCCAGTGGCTTGAAAAACATGCCAGGCTCATGTGTGTGTGTTTCCAAAATCCCAAGAAGAGAATGGAGGAGAAGGGATTGCAGCAGGACCATTCCCCAGGGGGTTAATTTCTCACTTTCCCTCTCTCTCTTTGTTTCTCTCTGGCATTTATGCTATAGCAAAACTTTAAAAAAATAAAAAGAAAGGCAGGAAGGAAGGAAGGGAGGAAGGGAGGGAGGGAGGGAGGGAAAAAGAAATACATACTGGGCATGTATGTATGTGCCCAGAATTATGATGAGAAAGAGAACTGGTGGCAAAGAGTATGGCCTGACCATGCCCCATTGTGGGGATGCCCAAAAAGAGGGAGGGGTACTTCTCCCTTTCTCTCTTGTGTGCTATATGTGCCTCTGGTCGAACAAATAAACATAAAATAAAAAACAAAAACGACAAGAAAGATAACACATACACAAGAATAGCCATTGGGGATATAACAGTAAAGAAGACAGACATCACTGTTCTCATGGGACTTGCGATTTAATGAAGGCAGAACAATTGAATACGTAAGTTAAGCTATGATGAGTGGTTGAGGACTATATAGAATTTCCTTTAAATATATAATAAAAAAACTAAGGTATTTTGGCAGTTGAGGGTAATCTTACTTCTTATTGTGAAATGGTCACTACTTCCCACAATTCCTTTTTCCTAGTACAATGCCTGGCCATGGTGGTTACTCAAAAATATTTCATAACCTATTGTGGTTTGTTAAAATCAGTTTCCTTGTACCAGTCTTCTTTCTGGTTTCCTCTATGTTCTGAGAAATGAAATTATCAAGAAAGCAGGTCAAGAAATCCTAGAAACCTTCATTCACCCTTCAAACCAATTGGAAAGTTAACTATTACAGGTGATTAATTACTTCCTCTCTCTGCATGTCGTAGCCCAAGTCCTGTGTCCCAGTGATGGGAGAGAATATGGTTTAATGCTGTCTGATCTGTAAAAAAGAGAAATACTGAAATACTCTTTCTACAAATATTTAAGAATGAGTGGTACAATATCCATACATCTATACACTGACAGACATTTTGTGCAGGTGTGACCCTCAGCTGGACTGAGAGGTTTCTCCTCTAATGGAGCAGTCTTCAAGATCCCCTCCATGCGTCAATGAAGAATCTATGTGTGTCCACCAGTGCTGTCCAGGGCCTTTGCACTAGAAGGTAGCAGATGCTCAGGAATCGTATACTAATCAGGGTTGCTAGACAAAATATAGACAGCTCAGTTGAACTTTAGATAAAATAGAATTCAAGTATGAGTTTATTTTGGTGCAAAAAATATTTTTAAGAATTTTGCCATAGGGTGTGCATTGGCTAGAGAGATAGGCAGAGACAGAAGGCACCTCCCCGTGGGGTATTGTCACACTGCAGTCTCTTCTCATCCATTTCTCCACGCTGTTGAGATTCTGGAAACACACATACATGTATTTCTCAAGCTGCCGGGGCTGGGACTTAAACTGTGGAGCTGACCATGTAGGATCTGTTCCCTTAACCACTAGGTCATGGGGCTGACCTGGGAGTAGACTAGAATGAACTGAGGTTAGATAAATACCAGATTATGGGACTCAGAGAGTCTTTTTTGCTCCTAGCACTTACTAATTTCCTTTTCTTCATATCCCAACAAACTGAAAATATGCTTTCCCTGTGCCTAAGAATTCGTGTGATCAAATTGATGTGGTTAGTTTAGTCTCTCCTCTTTGGTTTACCTCCTTGTATGAAAGTCTTTCGGTTTCTCATAGAATGACCAAACAGTTCATCCTTACCTCACTTTCATTGCAGCAGAACACATCTGAGAGGGTGTAGAACCGGGGATCCAGGTCAGCCATGGCAGGCGCTGGGTTGAACAACGTTTTCACTATGAAGGAATACGAAGGGATTCAGGGGTCATCATTGTTAACACGACGCATCTTCAGTCAATAGGGAAACCCCAAGTGCAATCATTTGTGTGCTTATCAGATTAATAGCCACTTGGTTTCAGATATGGAAAAGTCCGAGATGTCAATCTTCATGATAGCCTCAGATCAATTCCTTCTCATTTCCATTTTCTCTACTTTTTACTTTACAACATTTCAGCTGCAAGGTCAAGCAGCAATACGGATGATCAACATGTTTATAGAGTTAGGGCAATTGCAACAGGAACATTAAAGGAAAGCGAAATGTTGTGGCATGGCAGAATGATGTATGAATGTGAACAGGCTGGTGAACATTTTTGTGGATTATTTTAAATGCTTAGCTGCAAAGCTAGCTCATAGATCCATTTTCTAGGGAAGAAAAAAGAAGAGACAACAGAAGCGAAATGAAGAGTTCAAAAAATAATAAAGTGTTCAAAATTTTATTGCTAGGCAAAACAGGAGAAAGTTCATGTATGCATCTTTTTTTTTTTGGAGAAGTTTTGCCATAGGGTGCATGTCTTACCAGAAAGAGAGAGACAGAGAGACAGAGAGACAGAAAGCGAGAAATCGCTCCCTGGGGGGGATGGCCAAGTCACAATCTCTTCTCCTCCATTTTCCTCTCAGGATCTTGGGCACGCACGCACACGCGCCTGGTATGAGTTTAAGCCACCAGGTCAGGGACTTGAACCGTGGTCAACTACATGGGAGTCCAGCGACATAGCCATCAAGCCAACTGTTGGTCCCCATGTATGCATGTTTTATATACCTATGTATGTCTCCCAAATACATCACAATTAATCATGCAAATGCACATGTACACAAAAGCTTATATTCTTGACTTTTATGAGAACTCTGGAACCATAGAAAAGTAGAGAAAGGAGGAGAGATCAGGAGAGGGCTACCTTAGACTGAGGCTACAAGAGAAAGAATAGGAATAGCAGAAACAGGGACAGAAGAATGTCACAGTCATTACCGTGTCAGAAGTGCATTCAGAGGAGGAAAATGAGGCTCAGAGATATGTCAGACATCTAAGGTTGTGCACCGGCATGTGATTAAGCTGAGTGGCTCTTCGGGGTCCTCTGGCTTTTCAGAGCTTAGTTCTCTCTAAAGACCAGGATGCTGTATATAGCAATACATACATTTCTTTCATCCCAAAGTACAGTATTTTAGACTAGCCTTTGATAGGCAGATTCATGCAGATTCATGCAGATGTATATATTTAAAGTCTTTAGAAATTACATTCATAGGAAGCACCTTCTTTGTCAAACACACATATCCAACAGAGTACTCAACTAGATTGGTTGGTCTTTCCTCAGCTTTGGCTTACTGACTCATATGGTTAAGCAGGAGAGTCCCTCTACCTGCAGGTCTCAGAAACTCTTCTAGAATGGTAGTTTACAAACATGGTTGCATATCACCATCACTAGACAAGCTGGTTGAAACATACGATTTCTGGGCTCTGCCTCAAGCCCCCTGAATCAGAATCTCTGATAACCTTTCATATCCCACTGGGAGGGACTTTCTCTCTGCCTCTCTCAGGGCAATGCACACATCCTATGGCAAAACTCATTAAAAAATCCCTGGGGGTTCTCCAAGTGGTTCTCACATAACTAACTGGGCACTGATCCATTCCACATTCCTGGGCAGATGCCAATCTGCATGTGCCTAATGGAAACTGCCCACTACTCTGGCCTGGTCAGGTTATCTGGTATATATATTTCTGCACCTTCTTTGGTCTTAGTTAACATTTTGGTTCAATCAGTAGGGTTTTCCCAGTATTGGCTAACATTACTGTATTTTTGTTATTTTAGAATCCACCTACAGAAATTCTATAGTATATATTTGGATGCTGAGATTTTTGTGCAGGGTTATTATACAGCTTAAATTAGAAAGTGGATTAAAAAAATCCTTGTGTAAAATGTTGCAGAAATGTATAGGATTATTACTGTTATTATATTGTCCTTAGCACATGGTCTGACACCCTTGCCTGTCCACCCATTCCTTCTGTCCTCCTCTGTTGTTTGCAGCCTGGCAACAGTTCCTCTCTCTGCTTTCCCCATTCTGGAAGGTCTTAGAGATGGCAGCACACATAATGGCCTACATTGCCTAGCTTTCTAACATACCCACTTTCTTTTTAGGTTTCCAGAACAATGTATTGTTTCCTATTTCCCTCAAAGCAGTAAATTAAGAGGACAGATGGAGCAGTGCTCTGGAAGGCTGACTCATATGGGAAGGGTCCAGGTTTGTGTCTGGAAACTTCTTTGAATATGTTGGACACATGAGTGCCTATGATCCAGGGCTGCCTTAGGCTGGGGTAGATTCCAGAGTCAAGGCCCTGTTAGAGGCGCTCCCTGTGTGTGTCTCTCTCACTCATAGAATAAATATATAAATAAAACTTTAAAAATATAAAAACAATCCACACCAATTACATATTAAAAAAACATAAAATTGAGCCACCATTAATCATCTAGTGTGGTCCCTAAATCTGCACTCTTAGCACCTGAGCACAGGTTAGAGCACGTCATAGTATGGAATGACACAGTAGAGCCATTCCTATAAAAGTTCTAATTTTTTTTTTAAAGATTGCTGATGCAGCTACTTTTTTCTTAAACCTACCCTATAGAAATTCACAGGCATGCAAAGATGATACATAGTGATGTTCATGCAGCCTTGTTAGTAACAAAAAAACAAAAGGAACCTATACATCTATCAAAGAGGATTGGTTTAGGGACCAGCAGTTAGCATAATGGCTATGTCGCTGGACTCTCATGTAGTTGGCCACGGTTCAAGTCCTGGACCCGGTGGCTTAAACTCACACCGCGTGAAATCACCCCTGGGGGGGTGATTTCTCGTTTTCTGTCTCTCTGTCTCTGTCTGTCTGTCTGGCCAGTGCATGCACCCTATAGTAAAAACCTCTTTAAAAAAAGAGGATTGGTTCAAACGATTATGCGATGTATGTCTGATGTAACACTATGCCACTGTTAAAAGAAGGAAGTAGATATGTTTCGTCAGAGAGTAAAACTTACTTATAAGTAAAACAGGGCAGTTTTGTGCTACCCCCTTTTTAATAAAACAATCATATGTGTATTAACATTTATACACCTACATAAAAAAGAAGTCTGTGGTTACTAGTCTAATAATTGACTACTTATAAGAGGCCAATGGAAACAGATCTGACTATGGATTAAGTATTGTACATTGTGCAAAGACATTCTTTTCTTAAAGGGGTTTTTGCCTTAGGGTGCATGTGCTTGCCAGACAGAGAAAGAGACAGAGAAAACAAAGGGAAAAGTGAAAAATAATCCCCCCTCCCCGGGGTAATGGCCACACCACAATCCCTTCTCTTCCATTCTCCTCCTGGTATCTTGGGCACACATCATATGCACCCAGAATGATTTTCAAGCCACCAAGTCTGGGACTCGAACTGCAGTCAGCCATGTGGGAGTTCAGTGACGTATCTGCTATGTCATCTGCTGGCCCCATATGAATGAAATGAGGTTTTGCTTTGACATAATTCAAGGTTGTAGCAGGTGGTAGGGAATAATGAGTTGGGATAGAGATGAAACGAAATTGGCTATGTGCTGGTAATTGTTTTTTTTTTTTTTTTTTCCTGGAGAGGTTTTCGCTATAGGGCGCGTGCGCTCGCCAGACAGATAGAGAGAGACCTAGAGACAGAAAGCGAGAAATCACCCCCCAGGGGGGATGGTCACACCGCAATCCCTTCTCCTCCATTCTCCTCCCGGGATCTTGGGCACGCACGCACACGCGCCCGGCGTGAGTTCTAAGCCACCAGGTCTGGGATGTGAACCGCGGTTGACGACGTGGGAGTCCAGCGACATAGCCATTACGCTAACTGCTGGTTCCCTGTGCTGGCAATTGTTGAAGGTATGTGGTACTACATATGAGTTTCCATACTACTCTCCGGAAGTCCATACATATTTGAAATTCTCCACAATAAAACCCATTTTAAAGAAACATACATTGAATTTTGGGAACCAGCAGTTAGCGTAATGGCTATGTTGCTGGACTCCCACGTAGTCGACCGCGGTTCGCGTCCCGGACCTGGTGGCTTAAAACTCACGCTGGGCACGTGTGCGTGCGTGCCCAAGATCCCGAGAGGAGAATGGAGGAGAAGGGATTGTGGCATGACCATTCCCCCTGGGGGGTGATTTCTCGCTTTCTATCTCTCTGTCTCTGTCTGTCTGGCGAGCGCATGTGCCCTGTAGCGAAAACCTCTCCAAAAAAAAAAAAAGAAACATACATTGAATTTTAATGTTGGAATGAGGAATTCTGTAATTTTACTATAAATATTGTATAAAAATCAGTCGAGCTCTCTAGGCTTGGACCAAGTTTGTGATGACACGGCTAAACATACTAAAAAAGTCAGAATCGTTGATGAATATGGGACCCACTATGGTGCCTCCTTCTGGAAAATGATGAAGAAAATTGAAATCAAGGCATGTGCCAAGTGCACTTGTTCCTTCCATGGCAAAACAAGATGAAGAGATGAAGCGTGTGCATCTGGCACTGAGGTCCCTGCATAAAAACAGTACCCGGTGGTGCCTGGACCCAAGGCACCACTTCAGCTGTCACGGCCAAGTCCGTCAGGAGAGTAAAGGGACTGAAAGGCTGGGGGGTGGTCCATCATTTGAGACAATCCTAGCCTATAATAAATAAATGGTTTAGTCTCTGTAACAAAATTACCTTGGCTTACTTTTGATTGTATTAATTAGATGTTATGATCTGCACTACATTGATACCTTTCCAAAAGACACTTGGAAATTGAATTATTTCTAATTGGTATTGGAAAAGCATTTGAAATGGATTTTTTGTAATTCAGATTTTTTTCCAGTAGTCAAATAATATGTTATGATATGGCATAAGAATATAAGACTTACAGGCTAAGTATGTGTCTTAGCTTTTTATAAGTCTGTTCTTGCCAGCTTGACTTTTTCTGAGAAAC